GGTGGGTTGGTGTGGTACATTATGGTACAGGTGGGTTGGTGTGGTACATTATGGTAAAGGTGGGTTGGTGTGGTACATTATGGGTGGGTTGGTGTGGTACATTATGGTACAGGTGGGTTGGTGTGGTACATTATGGTACAGGTGGGTTGGTGTGGTACATTATGGGTGGGGTTGGTGTGGTACATTATGGTAAAGGTGGGTTGGTGTGGTACATTATGGTAAAGGTGGGTTGGTGTGGTACATTATGGGTGGGGTTGGTGTGGTACATTATGGTAAAGGTGGGTTGGTGTGGTACATTATGGTAAAGGTGGGTTGGTGTGGTACATTATGGGTGGGGTTGGTGTGGTACATTATGGTACAGGTGGGTTGGTGTGGTACATTATGGTAAAGGTGGGTTGGTGTGGTACATTATGGGTGGGTTGGTGTGGTACATCGTGGTAAAGGTGGGTTGGTGTGGTACATTATGGTAAATGTGAGGTTTGTGGTACATTATGGTAAATGTGAGGTTTTGTGGTACATTATGGTAAATGTGAGGTTTGTTGTACATTATGGTAAATGTGAGGTTTGTTGTACATTATGGTAAAGGTAGGTTTTGTTGTGTTTACTCTTTAGATTTCAGTATGAAAGTGGCATACATGGTGTTGTACATGATGGTAAAGGTAGGTTTTGTTGTGTTTACTCTTTAGATTTCAGTCTGAAAGTGGCATACATGGTGTTGTACATGATGGTAACGGTAGGTTTTGTTGTGTTTACTCTTTAGATTTCAGTATGAAAGCGGCATACATGGTGTTGTACATTACGGTAAAGGTAGGTTTTGTTGTGTTTACTCTTTAGATTTCAGTATGAAAGTGGCAAAAGTCAAAGAGGAGGTGTTGAGGATGTTCCGGTTTTATCAGGAGGAGGAGGAGGAAAGAGTGGGCACCATCAGTTTCAGGTGGGCAACATCAGTTTCAGGTGGGCACCATCAGTTTCAGGTGGGCACCATCAGTTTCAGGTGGGCACCATCAGTTTCAGGTGGGCACCATCAGTTTCAGGTGGGCACCATCAGTTTCAGGTGGGCACCATCAGTTTCAGGTGGGCACCATCAGTTTCAGGTAAACCCACATTAACCAACCCATCAACCCACACTAATTACCCCTACTTCATACCATCCCCACTCCCCCATGAAATGACACCTCCCCCCCCTACACACACACCCCACGCCACACCAACAACCGGCATCTACGTAGTTGTATCAAATAACACCAACGCCGTGAACGTTAGCTTCGGGTTATAACAAAAAAAAATTGTTTTAACATTTTGTATAAAACATTTTGTCGTCACCGCTTCCATCCCTCCACCCCCCCCCCCCCCCCCCACCACCCTCCCAAAAAAAATACCCTGTAAAAGTCAATAAAAAACTGGTGTGAGGTTTTTGATTAGGCCGGACATTTCCTGATGTATTTCCTAATGGTCAAATAATAAATGTAGTGAGTTGTAAGAGTACATGAGCGTGTATGTTGTCATCTTTTGAGTGCCTAACCTTGACCTTTTTACAGGAATGTTGGCCTGGCGATGAGAGCTCTTGGGTTCTGTCCATCAGAGAGTGAACTAGAGGATGTCATAGTTAAGGTGAGGTCTGGTTCAGGTGAGGTCTGGTTCAGGTGAGGTCTGGTTCAGGTGAGGTCTGGTTTAGGTGGGGTCTGGTTCAGGTCTGGTTCAGGTGAGGTCTGGTTCAGGTGAGGTCTGGTTCAGGTCTGGTTCAGGTGAGGTCTGGTTCAGGTGAGGTCTGGTTCAGGTGAGGTCTGGTTCAGGTCTGGTTCAGGTGAGGTCTGGTTCAGTTCTGGTTCAGGTTCAGGTGAGGTCTGGTTCAGGTTTGGTTCAGGTGAGGTCTGGTTAAGGTGAGGTCTGGTTCAGGTGAGGTCTGGTTCAGGTGAGGTCTGGTTTAGGTGGGGTCTGGTTCAGGTCTGGTTCAGGTGAGGTCTGGTTCAGGTGAGGTCTGGTTCAGGTGAGGTCTGGTTCAGGTCTGGTTCAGGTGAGGTCTGGTTCAGTTCTGGTTCAGGTTCAGGTGAGGTCTGGTTCAGGTTTGATTCAGGTGAGGTCTGGTTCAGGTGAGGTCTGGTTCAGGTGAGGTCTGGTTCAGGTGAGGTCTGGTGGGATATGGTTCAGGTGAGGTCTAGTTCAGGTGAGGTCTGGTTCAGGTGAGGTCTGGTTCAGGTGAGGTCTGGTTCAGGTGAGGTCTGGTTCAGGTGAGGTCTGGTGGGATATGGTTCAGGTGAGGTCTGGTTCAGGTGAGGTCTGGTTCAGGTGAGGTCTGGTTCAGGTGAGGTCTGGTGGGATATGGTTCAGGTGAGGTCTGGTTCAGGTGGGGTCTGGTGGGATATGGTTCAGGTGAGGTCTGGTTCAGGTGAGGTCTGGTTCAGGTGGGGTCTGGTGGGATATGGTTCAGGTGAGGTCTGGTTCAGGTGGGGTCTGGTGAGGTCTGGTGCAGGTGGGGTCTGGTTCAGGTCTGGTCTGGTTTAGGTGGGGTCTGGTGCAGGTGGGGTCTGGTGAGGTCTGGTTCAGGTGAGGTCTGGTGGGATATGGTTCAGGTGAGGTCTGGTTCAGGTGAGGTCTGGTTCAGGTGGGGTCTGGTTCAGGTGAGGTCTGGTTCAGGTGAGGTCTGGTTCAGGTGAGGTCTGGTTCAGGTGAGGTCTGGTGGGATATGGTTCAGGTGGGGTCTGGTTCAGGTGAGGTCTGGTTCAGGTGAGGTCTGGTTCAGGTCTGGTTCAGGTGAGGTCTGGTTCAGGTGAGGTCTGGTTCAGGTCTGGTTCAGGTGAGGTCTGGTTCAGGTCTGGTTCAGGTGAGGTCTGGTTCAGGTGGGATCTGGTGGGATATGGTTCAGGTGGGGTCTGGTTTAGGTGGGGTCTGGTGAGGTCTGGTTCAGGTGAGGTCTGGTTCAGGTGAGGTCTGGTTCAGGTGGGGTCTGGTGAGGTCTGGTTCAGGTGAGGTATGGTTCAGGTGAGGTCTGGTGGGATATGGTTCAGGTGAGGTCTGGTTCAGGTGAGGTCTGGTTCAGGTGAGGTCTGGTTCAGGTGAGGTCTGGTTTAGGTGGGGTCTGGTGAGGTCTGGTTCAGGTGAGGTCTGGTGGGATATGGTTCAGGTGAGGTCTGGTTCAGGTGAGGTCTGGTTTAGGTGAGGTCTGGTTCAGGTGAGGTCTGGTTTAGGTGAGGTCTGGTTTAGGTGAGGTCTGGTGAGGTCTGGTTCAGGTGAGGTCTGGTTTAGGTGGGGTCTGGTGAGGTCTGGTTCAGGTGAGGTCTGGTTTAGGTGAGGTCTGGTGAGGTCTGGTTCAGGTGAGGTCTGGTTTAGGTGGGGTCTGGTGAGGTCTGGTTCAGGTGAGGTCTGGTTTAGGTGAGGTCTGGTGAGGTCTGGTTCAGGTGAGGTCTGGTTCAGGTGAGGTCTGGTTTAGGTGAGGTCTGGTGAGGTCTGGTTCAGGTGAGGTCTGGTTTAGGTGGGGTCTGGTGAGGTCTGGTTCAGGTGAGGTCTGGTTCAGGTGAGGTCTGGTTTAGGTGAGGTCTGGTGAGGTCTGGTTCAGGTGAGGTCTGGTTTAGGTGGGGTCTGGTGAGGTCTGGTTCAGGTGAGGTATGGTGAGGTCTGGTTCAGGGAGGTCTGGTGAGGTCTGGTTCAGGTGAGGTCTGGTGAGGTCTGGTTCAGGTGAGGTCTGGTGAGGTCTGGTTCAGGGAGGTCTGGTGGGATATGGTTCAGGTGAGGTCTGGTTCAGGTGAGGTCTGGTGAGGTCTGGTTCAGGTGAGGTCTGGTGAGGTCTGGTTCAGGTGAGGTCTGGTGAGGTCTGGTTCAGGGAGGTCTGGTGGGATATGGTTCAGGTGAGGTCTGGTTCAGGTGGGGTCTGGTTCAGGTGAGGTCTGGTTCAGGTGAGGTCTGGTGAGGTCTGGTTCAGGGAGGTCTGGTGGGATATGGTTCAGGTGAGGTATGGTTCAGGTGAGGTCTGGTTCAGGTGAGGTCTGGTTCAGGTGAGGTCTGGTGGGATATGGTTCAGGTGAGGTCTGGTTCAGGTGAGGTCTGGTTCAGGTGAGGTCTGGTGGGATATGGTTCAGGTGAGATCTGGTTCAGGTGAGGTCTGGTTCAGGTGAGGTCTGGTGGGATATGGTTCAGGTGAGGTCTGGTTCAGGTGAGGTCTGGTTCAGGTGAGGTCTGGTGGGATATGGTTCAGGTGAGGTCAGGTTCAGGTGAGGTCTGGTTCAGGTGGGGTCTGGTGGGATATGGTTCAGGTGAGGTCAGGTTCAGGTGAGGTCTGGTGAGGTCTGGTACAGGTGAGGTCTGGTGGGATATGGTTCAGGTGGGGTCTGGTGGGATATGGTTCAGGTGGGGTCTGGTTCAGGTGAGGTCTGGTTCAGGTGAGGTCTGGTTCAGGTGAGGTCTGGTGAGGTCTGGTTCAGGTGAGGTCTGGTTTAGGTGGGGTCTGGTTCAGGTGAGGTCTGGTGAGGTCTGGTTCAGGTGAGGTCTGGTGGGATATGGTTCAGGTGGGGTCTGGTTCAGGTGAGGTCTGGTGGGATATGGTTCAGGTGAGGTCTGGTTCAGGTGAGGTCTGGTGGGATATGGTTCAGGTGAGGTCTGGTTCAGGTGAGATCTGGTTCAGGTGAGGTCTGGTGGGATATGGTTCAGGTGAGGTCTGGTGGGATATGGTTCAGGTGAGGTCTGGTGGGATATGGTTCAGGTGAGGTCTGGTTCAGGTGAGATCTGGTTCAGGTGAGGTCTGGTGGGATATGGTTCAGGTTAACATTTGTTAAACCTAGAGCTTTATTCAGCTTTAAACCTAGAATTTTTAGCCAACAATTGTGAAGCATATTGAACCTCCAGGTTAAGCCATCTATTGTGAAGCATGTTGAACCTCCAGGTTTAGCCAACAATCATGAAGCATGTTGAACCTCCAGGTTCAGCCATCTATTGTAAAGCATGTTGAACCTCCAGGTTTAGCCAACTATTGTGAAACATGTTGAACCTCCAGGTTTTGTCGTCTCCTGCAGATGGTGTCCCTAGGCAACATTGACCTGTATGTGCCGGAGAATGTTTTCGTCACTGTCGTCACCAAGCTCAAGCTCAAGGGGAGGTAATTACTGCGCTGAGTAGGTGGGGGAGGGGTGGGAGTGGGGGGTCGCTGGGACTATAATGATAGGAGTCACTGGGATTGGGCGTCACTTGGTCTATAACGATGGGAGACATGGGGTTAGCGATGGGAATTGTTGGGGCTTTAAGGCTGGTAGAGTTAAGGGCTGGACGGGGAGGTGTACCTGCGGATACCTGTGTTGTCATGACAACCAGACCTGTCCTGCCTGCAGGTACCCGAGAGACGACTGCTCGCAGATTGTACAAGCCTTCCGTGTGCTGGACAGGAGAGGGTCAGGTATGATGAATGTGGACGAGCTGTCGACCATCATGACCAAGGAAGGTCAGTTGAAACGTCACAAAGTTTGGTAGAAAAGTGTATATATATATATATATATATATATATATATATATATATATATATATATATATATATATATATATATATATATATATATATATATATATATATATATATATATATATATATATATATATATATATATATATATATATCTTCTATTATACTACTAAAAGTCAAGTTTGTTTACATGTTTGAATATTTATTTGTTTGTTTGTTTGTTTGCCTGATCGACTATTGTGATATGTTCGACTCAATCTGGATAGCTGTAAAATAGTATGTAGGTAGAGAATAATTTTTTAATGCAGACAGACTGTTAATCACACATTTATTTAAAGACGTTAATTAATTTATTGATTTATTCCTACGCAGAATAACCCATTTTTTTTTAAAATGTTAAAACCTTGACTAAACTTTGTGGGAATAGTGACGTCACAGGTTTTTGTTTACTCTTTAGTACAATAAAATGGCGGCGTCTATTGAAGAAAATTGTGTTCCCATTCAAAAGTTTAACGCGTTCTAAATCTAATTTTCTGTCGGTCATAACTTTAACAATACGTCCGTTTGCTGTATTTATTACGTTCCAACACTTATATCAATTTTCAACTGTCTTTTTCATTTAGTTTTACGATAAATTTCTCTAGATCTAAAGATCAGCTGTCGAGAATCTAGCCTAGGGCCTAGATTCTAGATCTAGATCTAGGTCACTAGACTCAATGTAAATTCTAGATCTAGACTTAATGTAAATTCTACATCTAGAATCTATTTCGGGCCTTAATTATTTTATATAAATCTTTGTTTAGCTTCAATGATCATCTAATTCGAGAATACATGGGATTTTTTTGTTATCTAGGTTTTATATCTAGATATAGTAGGATTACTCACTAACTTGGAGGCGTGGTCGGCTGCTAACAACAATATGGCGTACGGACCGGACGAATGACTTCCTACCATTTTTAGGCCATGTTTACCACGAGCAAAATGGCGGGTGTTCACATTATTTAAACATGGTATAGGTGGCCAGGGCTAGATATGCCAGAAAAGCATTTTAAAATTTGCTTTGGAGAATGAAGGCTAAATTTTAAAGCCAGTGTCATAAACATTAATAGAACTTTTTTTTTTTTTACGTTTTCAATTATTTTTTCTTAAGCCCTATATGTGAATGATAAGGTTGACTTTCAGGACCTCGCGGGGCACAGGGCACGTGAAGTAGGGTTCATCTGTTTCTTTGTCCTAAGCAAATGAAGGGATAGTGTGGTCAGAGACATGCTTGGCTGGAATCGTTTTTGTTGTCTGAGACTTGGCGGGACATTGGGCAGGTGAAGTAGAGTTGAGTAGGTCACCTGTGACGTCAATATATGAAGGGATAGTCCGAAATCGTTGTTTTCGGTGTTTTTAAAAGATAAGAAACATATTTTTGAATGTGGGGTCTGTTTTTTGTGACGATAAGTGACACTGCAGTAGCGTAGCGAGGAGGGGGGGGGGGCGGGAGGGGAGGCGGGGGGGGGAGGGGAGGCGGGGGGGGGGAGGCGGGGGGAGGTGGAGGGGGGGGAGGCGGGGGGAGGTGGAGGGGGGGGGGCGGGGGGGCATATGTTGGGGCGCCAAAATGGTTTGGAAAAATAAATTGAAAGGTTGAGGGGGGGTTCAAATCGAAAGTTTGAGTGGGGGGGGTGCACCTCAAAAGTTTGAGGGGGGGGGGGTGAAAATCGAAATCTTGGGGGGGGGGTTAAAATCGAAAAGTTTGTCCCCGGGCGCCGGGAAGGGTCGCTATGCCTCTGAGTGACAGACGTGATGTTTTTTATGGATGACCCCCGAAACCCACAGTTATCCAACGGATGACGGGTATTCTAGTATACTACTAAAAGTCAAGTTTGTTTACATGTTTGAATATTTATTTGTTTTTTTGTTTGTTTGTTTGTTTGCCTGATCGACTATTGTGATATGTTCGACTCAATCTGGATAGCTGTAAAATAGTATGTAGGTAGAGAATAATTTTTTAATGCAGACAGACTGTTAATCACACATTTATTTAAAGACGTTAATTAATTTATTGATTTATTCATTGTTAAATTAACCGTATTTTTTTTAAAATGTTAATACTTTGAATAAACTTTGTGGGGATAGTGACGTCCCTTGATAGTGACGTCAGAGTTTTTTGTTGACTCTTTAGTACAATAAAATGGCGGCGTCTATCGAAGAAAATTGTGTTCCCATTCCAAAGTTTAACGCGTTCTAAATCTAATTTTCTGTCGGTCATAACTTTAACAATACGTCCGTTTGCTGTATTTATTACGTTCCAACACTTATATCAATTTTCAACTGTCTTTTTTCATTTAGTTTTACAATAAATTTCTCTAGATCTAAAGATCAGCTGTCGAAGGAAATTTATGAATCTAGCCTAGATCTAGATCTAGGTCACTAAACTCGATGTAAATTCTAAATCTAGACTTAATGTAAATTCTACATCTAGAATCTATTTCAGGCCTTAATACATCTAGAATCTATTTCAGGCCTTAATTATTTATATAAATCTTTGTTTGGCTAATTTAAGATAAAATTTAATTTGAAAGTTACTACTTCTAGACTAGACGCTCGAAATCAAGTTGCATCAAAGTATAGTATAAAAATTCATTTGTGACGTCACGAGTAAATAGCTAAGTTTGTAGCGTAGTCCGCTCTCATGCGAGTGGTACAGGTTCTAGACCAATATGTCAATGATATTTTTTTTCAATTTTTTTTTTTTAGATGTTAATGATAAAAAAAACCGGTAGTGATCTCCCCTAAACTTTCTCGAATATTTTTATATAAAATAACAGGGGATGGGAACTCGGGCTATAGACATGATTTTTAATCCATTTTAAATACTTAAAGTTTTAAAAATAGAATAAAATCTCGTAGACAAATTAATTGCACACCAAGTGAACGCGAAATAAAAAAGCGCATAATAGTGCGCAATATTATTAGTACTTTTAAAATTTACATTAGTTTTTTGAGAAATCGGAAGTAGCGTAAATTACTACTTCCTGTCAACGGAAATTACTCAAAATTTAACAGAAGGTAGAGAATTAGATCTTTTACTTACATGTGAAATTTCATTTATCTATCTGAAATAGTACTCAAGTTATAGGCTTTTAAAAAATTCAAAGTAGGAAAAGTACCACTTCCGGTTATCGGAAATCGCTCAAAAGTTGATACGGATCTACGATTTTGATAAAATACTTATATATGAAATTTCATCAACCTAGCTGTAACGGTACTCAAGTTATCGTGTTTACACACGGACAGACACACACACGGACAGACACACACACACACAGACATACGGACAAGATTGCAAAATTATGTTTTTCCGTATCAGTGAGGTGTAAAACGTCGAGATTTGTAAAAATCTCGATTTTTTTTTTTTGCACGATTACAATACTTTCTCTATACTACGTATATACGAGAAAGTAAAAATGATATTTTTTTTCAATTTTTTTTTTTTTAGATGTTAATGATAAAGTTGCCTATCTGAACTTGGCAGGATACAGGGCAGGTGAAGTAGAGTTCATCTGTTTCTTTGTCCTAACCATATGAAAGGATAGTGTGGTCAGAGACATGCTCGGCTGGAATCGTTTTTTAAACGATAAAAACATGTTGTCTGAGACTTGGCGGGACACTGGGCAGGTGAAGTAGAGTTGAGTAGGTCACATGTGACGTCAGTATATGAAGGGATAGTCCGAAATCGGTGTTTTCGGTGTTTTTAAAAGATAAGAAACATATTTTTGAATGTGGGCTCTGTTTTTGTGACGATAAGTGACACTGCAGTAGCGTAGCGAGGAGGGGGGGGGGGGGCGGGTGGGGAGGCGGGGGGGGGGGGGGGGGAAGGGGAGGCGGGGGGGGGGGGAAAGGGGAGGTGAAGGGGGGGGCGGGGGGACGTATGTTGGGGCGCCAAAATGGTTTGGAAAAATAAATTGAAAGGTTGAGGGGGGTTCAAATCGAAAGTTTGAGTGGGGGGGGGGAGGGGGTGCACATCAAAAGTTTGAGGGGGGGGGGTTGAAAATCGAAATCTTGGGGGGGGGGGGGTTAAAATCGAAAAGTTTGTCCCCGGGCGCCGGGAAGGCTCGCTATGCCTCTGAGTGACAGACGTGATGTTTTTTGATGGATGACCCCCGAAACCCACAGTTATCCAAGGGATGACGGGTTTTCTAGTATACTACTAAAAGTCAAGTTTGTTTACATGTTTGAATATTTATTTTTTTGTTTTTTTGTTTGTTTGTTTGTTTGCCTGATCGACTATTGTGATATGTTTGACTCTATCTGGAGAGCTGTAAAATAGTATGTAGGTAGAGAATAATTTTTTAATGCAGACAGACTGTTAATCACAAATTTATTTAAAGACGTTAATTAATTTATTGATTTATTCATAGTTAAATTAACCGTATTTTTTTAAAAATGTTAATACTTTGAATAAACTTTGTGGGGATAGTGACGTCCCTTGTTGTGTTTACTTTTTTGTACAATAAAAATGGCGGACTCCATCATAGACTTTGTGGCCCATTCAAAAGTTTAACGCGTTGCAAAGCTAATTTTCTGCCGGCTATAACTTAAACAATACGTCCGTTTGCTGTATTTCCAACACTTATATCAATTTTCAACTATCTTTTTCATTTAGTTTTACGATAAATTTCTCTAGATCTAAAGACCAGCTATCGAAGGAAAGTTATGAATCTAGCCTAGATCTAGAATCTAGATCTAGCCTAGATGTGGGTCACTAGACTCAATGTAAATTCTAGATCTAGACTTAATGTAAATTCTACATCTAGAATCTATTTCAGGCCTTAATTATTTTATATAAATCTTTGTTTGGCTAATTTAAGATAAAATTTAATTTGAAAGTTAGTACTACTAGACTTATTTTTAGATCTAGATCTAGAATCTATACGCGTAAATCAAGTTGCATAAGGAGACACAAAGTATAGTATAAAAATTCACTTGCGACGTCACGAGTAAATAGCTAAAATGGTAGCGTAGTCGGCTCTCATGCAGTTGGCACGGGTTCTAGACCAATATGTCAATGAAATTTTTTTTTCAATTTTTTTTTTAGATGTGAATGATAAAGTTGCCTATCTGAACTTGGCAAGATACAGGGCAGGTGAAGTAGAGTTCATCTGTTTCTTTGTCCTAAGCATATGAAAGGATAGTGTGATCAGAGACATGCTCGGCTGGAATAGTTTTTTAAACGATAAATACATGTTGTCTGAGACTTGGCGGGACACTGGGCAGGTGAAGTAGAGTTGAGTAGGTCACATGTGACGTCAGTATATGAAGGGATAGTCCGAAATCGGTGTTTTTAAAAGATAAAAAACATATTTTTGAATGTGGGGTCTGTTTTTTGTGACGATAAGTGACACTGCAGTAGCGTACCAAGGAGGGTGGGACGGTAGGGGAGGGGAGGCGGGGGGGGGGGGGGGAAGGGGAGGCGGGGGGGGGGGAAGGGGAGGCGGGGGGAGGTGGAGGGGGGAAGGGGGGGGGACATATGTTGGGGCGCCAAATGGTTTGGAAAAATAAATTGATAGGTTGAGGGGGGTTCAAATCGAAAGTTTGAGGGGAGGGGGGGTGCACATCAAAAATTTGAGGGGGGGGGGTTCAAATCGAAAACTTTGTCCCCGGGCGCCGGGAAGGGTCGCTATGACAGACGTGATGTTTTTTGATGGATGACCCCCGAAACCCACAGTTATCCAACGGATGACGGGTATTCTAGTATATATATATATATATATATATATATATATATATATATATATATATATATGTATATATATATATATATATATATATATATATATATATATATATATATATATATCGATGGTCTCGGTCGCAAACCGTCTAACTCCGAAAATGTAAATTTTACAGGAGAGACAAAAAACTGATTATTTCCTTCTCGATCGCTCTAATACAAATTTTTTTTAAAGATATCTCCGAAGAAACTCTCTACCGACTATACTGTAGCGTTTTAAAATGGGTTTTGTTGATATTTACAAAATTATAGCAGGTTTAAAAAGATAGACGGTTTGCTCGGTCTAAAATTCTCGGTGCAAACCGTCTATCTGTGCGCGCGCAGACTTAACTGTTTTGAGCCGAGAATTTCGGTCTCAGCCGCGTTCGTTCGTTTTGTCCTAAGAACGTGATATTTAGTTATGTTTATGTTTTTAAGTTATAATTAACATTTTATAATATTTAGATTATAGTTTTGGGCTCATATTTTAATTATTTAAGTTTATTCTACATTATGGAGTCAGTTTAATATTTAGTAGAGATGTTTTAGTATGGCTTTATCGCTTTCGACTGTATTCATTATGTCTGTATATAGCACTAGACTTGTTAGCAGTTGAAGGTTATGCTTTATTTATTACATCTATCTATTCTCACAGTTTATTTTACTAAATCTGGTGGGTGCTGGGTTTGTAGAATGATAATAGTAAAAACAGAAACCGTATTGTCAGATATATTATGAATGAGACATAACACACTAATCACATTAATACTGACTAAATGTTTACTTATTTTACAAAAATGTAACAAAAAAATGTGTTTATTTTTAAAATTTATTCTTTGAATAAACGTCACATAAAGAAAAATTAAAATGGCAACATATTTTTAAAATCAGGGAAATCATCATAAAAAGGTGTGTTTATCACTTGCTTTTAGGTGCTCAAATATGACAGTTTTTATCTTTTTTTCTGCTCTTGTACAACTTGACAGGGGCTACAGATGAGATTTATAACCTTACGACCATAGCTTAGCAATAGCCAGCTATCTGCTAATTCACTTAGAAGTAGACAGTAGCATCAGGCTTGTACTGCAGTGCACGAATATCTGTCGCTTTGAATTCTTGATAGGTCTAACTGGTCTTTTGAGAGTGGCTGGTCTCTTGTATGGTAAGGCTGGTCTTTTTGAGCGGTTGCTGTCTAATGTCTGTTATTTGAGGCTGGTCTATTGTATGTTACGACTGATCTGTTGAGAAAGGCTGGTGTCTTGTATGGTAAGACTGGTGTGTTGAGAGAGGCTTGTCTATTGTAGGATAAGACTAATCTTTTGAGAGAGGCTGGTCTCTTGTATGGTAAGAATGGTCTGTTGAGAGAGGCTGGTATCTTGGAGGGTAAGATTGGTCAGTTGAGAGAGATTGGTTTTTTATATATTACGACTGATCTGCTGAGAGAGACGGGTCTCTTGTGAGTTACTGGTGCCTTAATGTTACGACTGGTCTGTTGTGAAAGGCTGGTCTGTTGAGAGATGCTGGTGCCTTTACGATTTGTCAGTTGACAGATGCTGGTGTCTTGTATGGTACGACTGGTCTGTTGAGAGAGACTGATATGTTGAGAGGCTGGTCTGTTGAGAGAGGCTGATCTGTTGAGAGAGGCTGGTCTGTTGAGAGAGGCTGGTCTGTTGAGAGAATCTGGTCTGTCGAGAGAGGCTCATCTGTTAAGAGAGGCTGGTCTGTTGAGAGAGGCTGATATGTTGAGAGGCTGGTCTGTTGAGAGAGGCTGGTCTGTTGAGAGAATCTGGTCTGTCGAGAGAGGCTCATCTGTTAAGAGAGGCTGGTCTGTTGAGAGAGGCGGGTCTGTTAAGACAGGCTGGTATGTTGAGAGAGGCTGGTCTGTCGAGAGAGGCTGATCTGTTAAGAGAGGCTGGTCTGTTGAGAGAGGCTGGTCTGTTGAGAGAGGCTGATATGTTGAGAGGCTGGTCTGTTGAGAGAGGCTGGTCTGTTATGTGGTAAGACTGGTGTGTTGAGAGAGGCTGGTCTGTTGAGAGAGGCTGGTCTGTTGAGAGAGGCTGGTCTGTTGAGAGAATCTGGTCTGTCGAGAGAGGCTGATCTGTTAAGAGAGGCTGGTCTGTTGAGAGAGGCTGATATGTTGAGAGGCTGGTCTGTTGAGAGAGGCTGGTCTGTTATGTGGTAAGACTGGTGTGTTGAGAGAGGCTGGTGTGTTGAGAGAGGCTGGTCTGTTGATAGAGGCTGATCTGTTGAGAGAGGCTGGTCTGTTGATAGAGGCTGGTATGTTGAGAGAGGCTGGTCTGTTAATGAGAGGCTGATCTGTTAAGAGAAGCTGGTCTGTTGAGAGAGGCTGGTCTGTTATGTGGTAGGACTGGTCTGTTGTGAGAGGCTGGTATGCTGAGAGAGGCTGGTATGTTGAGAGAGGCTGGTACGTTGAGAGAAGCTGGTGTGTTGAGATAGGCTTGTCTGTTGAAAAATTAATCATAAAAGCATTTACTAAAGACAACTAACCATGTCGTTGAACATGTACGCCAAACCTTTTTTTAACCTACCATATAAACATTTCTTAACACGTATCTAAACCCTCAATCTAAATTATTAAATCCAAATTATTAAATTTATTGCACATTCTTGTGGAAATATAATTCGAATTATATTGTTTTGATTGATATTTAGATTCTAGAATGAAGATCTAGTTTCAAAGCATTGTGTTAGCCTAAAAAAATTGTTAACAAATCAGTTTGGTTATTGACAATCTGGAAATAGGCTATATTAAACAAATACTATTTGTTTATTATTCTTTAAAATGATAAAATTTAATAGAATAGCTGAACATAATTAATCAAATATCCTTACCTATAAGTACTGTGACTGCTGTGCTGTAAAACTGTGTGATTGCGGCGTGCGACTGAGTTCCCGATCAAAAGTGTACTGACAGATATAGCGATATTCGTTTTGCGCCGAGATTTTTAGCGCTAGAAATAATAGGCGGTTTGTTCAAATGATTATATCTCAATAATCATTCTACAGATTTCTCTAATATTTTCAGTCATTATGGGGAATCATATTGTCTTTTGATTTATGTAAAAAAAAGAAAATCGAATTTTTTTGAGTTAGACGGTTTGCGACCGAGACCATCGATATATATATATATATATATACATATATATATATATATATATATATATATATATATATATATATATATATATATACATATATATATATATATATATATATATATATATATATATATATATATATATATATATATATATATATATATATATATATATATATATATATATATATATATATATATATATATATATATATATATATATGGTACGGTGTCTCCAGGCGAAACGTTCAGTACACACGAGATGGACTTGATGACCCAAATGGTCGTCCAGGACAAGAGCACAGAGTTCGACTACACGGCATACGCCCATCTGCTGTGTCACCACACACTGCCGGTGTGACAGTGGAGTGTCGTGTGGGGTGTCGTGTGGGGTGTCGGGAGTGAGCCAGCCTACGCTGGGGTGTAAGGCCTGCTAATGTGTGTGGGGCAGGGGGAGGGGCTGCATTGGAAGCCATTGCCAGACAAATGAGAGCTCTGGTGACGTCATCGACATCTTCTGCGCCGCTGGTTGATAACGCATTCACCCGGAAGTGTTTGGTCGTGTCGCACCCACGGGCTGGGTTAATGGGGGGGGGGGGGGGAGTGTACTGTGTGGTACCCGACTGTGATTCACAGCTAACACTCTCAATGCAGTTTGGCTTTGATTTCCCTAATGCTGGTTTCTGTATTATCTTGTACATTTTTAGTTGTAAATTTTGGCTGTTCCCTACTGTGTTATAAAATTAATATTAAAAAAATAGAGTCTTATGATTTGCCTTTTATTTTGATACGTTAGTACGCTGTGATAGGTGCAACTGTGTCAGACAGCCATTAACAGAATGGAGGTGTAATTAACAGATTGTTCTTGCGGGTGAAAGAATAATATTAATGAAAGGGTTAATTGGATCAATTAGTAATCAATGCCGGCGACATAGCGACATGGGTATTGAGCTTCGTTATGTCACACTGACACGAATCGCGTGAGCGTGGTATAACCTACACGTACTCACCTCAAATCTCTTCTTCAAGAACGCGCAGCCTGTACAAAACAACTTGATGGCTGTCTGGGGAATATACATGTCATATATGTCACTCATGTTATATATGTCACGTATGTTATAAATGTCATACATGTGACACGTCAAAGATATCCCTGGAGTCTCATATGTCAAATAAGCCTTACATATATATGACATACACTTACATATATATGACATACACTTCGTCATACATCAAACATATACCGTATATTTCTCATAATATGTCAAATACATGCCACATACGTCAAACGTGTTGCTCGTGTCATATATGCCACATGTCATATATGCCACACATATGTCATATGGAGATCTCCCACGTGTACCCCACACGTGTTAGACTGACCAGTGGTGCTAGCCTAAGGCTACCCTAACACAGCTGTTTCGTTAAAAGTGTCACTGGGAAAAATGTGAGGAACTATCAAATGGGCATCACGTGACCTTTATGGCAACAGAAGGAATGTTAGGCTTAGGCCGCCTCGGGCTGTAGAAGTTTTTGGTTCGTCAGTGTGTCAGAGAATTTGATTGGATAACTTCTGTCAGATAATTGGATACTATTGGTCAAGCTATGTGCGACAGAATATGTCTAGATATATTGGATCAGCTTTGTGTTAAAGCATTTGGATAAACTAGTTCAGCTTTGTTTTGAACGATTGGTCTGTATATAATAATTCATTTTGAATTGGGTTAAAGAATTTGAATATATTTATTTAATGTGTCTGTCTAAATACTTAGTATCTTACACAAGTAGCTTACGTCTGCTTTAGTTTGTTCATGACACCGTGTCTACCAATGTACGATAATATCTTGCTTTTAGTCCAGTGCACCACGTGACAATTCTAAACTTAGCAACAAAGGGACGTTACCTCGAGCACCATGACAGAGAGGATGGAGAGACTGACGAAGTGCAGGGCCTTGCTAGACTTGTAGACCTTGGAGTACTCGTCCACGTACTGTAGGTACTTGGTGCCGTTACCGTCCGCGTGGCTGGGCACGAACTCCGCCACCAGGAAGAAGCTGTCGATGATGTTGTTGACCTGCAGGACAAAAATGTCCTCCAGGGTCACGGGCTTCCTCGGGCTCGCGCTGGTCGTCTTCGTGACGTCAGACACCCGCGAGTCAGTCGAGGGTGAAATCGTCTGGGGGCCGGGGGTTAATCCGGATAAGGTGTTTAATCCCAAATCCGCACGGGCTGCCTGAACAGGCGGGGAATTAGTTTGTACATCCGGTGACGTCAGTGTTAATGTCGGGTTAATGGGTTCCGTGAAATGATTGGTTGCGGTGGCTTCCACGATGGTTGGTTGGTTGGTGGCTGGTGAAAAGTGGGCGGGGTTTTGAAGCGTCGTGGTCGTCAGTGTGTTTTGGGCTGACCACGATGAAAATGGTGATGTAGGTGTGATGGGAAATGACGTAGCTAGTGTGTTTGTGCGGCTAATGCTTTGTGAGACAGCTGACGTCTGAGGGGCGGATCCAGTGGCCCCGCCCACCGCACGTTTCCGCCTCTGCTCCCGCCCCGTCACCTGAAAATACGATGGCTGTGACCTTGCCCTGTGACCTTCACCTCTCCTTGAAGTTGTTAGCTGGCCCGAGATTACGTCCGCCTTTGTACTCGATACCAGTGGATCGATACTTAATCCTGTATCTCCCGGTAATCGATTGTATGACACCTCTCGTATCTCCCTCCCGACCCCCTGCCCCCGGGCGCCAGATTTATGGGGCACTATTTCTGGAACATTCTCAGATCTGAACAAACTCAACGAATACGAAACATTTCCTATCTGTGGTTTTAATCTCGTATCCAAGACCGTACTAGTAGAATATCCCGCAAAGTCACGGGCCAATTCGTTGTCTTTTTCGTTTTTAAGGCTAAATAATCGTACAAATTGCGACACGGTATTTTTGGTGTTTGCTAGGAAAGAGTGGAGGTTTGACCACGTGACGGAGACTATTAGGGCGGCCACAGGTCTGGAACTAACTGGATTACCTGGGAGTGGCTCTTCACCCGCAACAAGTGCGGCTCTCTTCTCGCGCGCGCCGCCCGGGGGTGGGGCCCGACTGGTGTTCAATAACGCCAGGCTTGAGTCAAGTGACGAAACAATTGCATCCGCTGGCGTGGACAGGAATGGATTAGGCGTGGTGCGTGGAGTGGGGGAGGCGGGGGGATCAAACGGAGGGGTTGACTCTGTGGTTAATAACACAGAATGTGGGGGTGCCGTTGTGGGGGTCGGGAGGTGGCTATCTGGGGAGGTGTGAAGCCAAGATGAAGGCTGGAGCGATGAAGAAGGGGTTGATGATTTTAGCGATGACGAGACGGCATCAGCCGTGAAAGACAAGGGTTCTGTGTGCTGTGGTTCGAAACCCGGGAGTGCCGTTATGTTTCTTGTGTCTAGTGCGTCCAACGAGGGTGTGGCCGCCATGACGCCGGCCGCCATTTTTGCTGACGCCGCTGTTGTGTTGCTGGTGCAGACACAGGGGGCGCAGTCAGGAGAGGTCAGAAGGTCATTTTTGGTCCTGAATATAAAGGACTGCTCTAGGACATTGATCACATCGGACATTGACCTCATGTCCTCGTTGGCAAAGGCTTCTGGGAACTTCTCACGAAGGTGAAGGACGAATCTGTTGATCTCGTTCTCCTCATTCTCAAATCGAACTGCAACAAAAAAAAAAAAAGATGTGTAGCTAATCAAAACATGGGATTTCTATCTCTAAACTTCACAACAGCGTGGTAGCTAAAATAGAATCCGCAGATATTCAAAACCTTAGCACCCACACTAACACCAATAAATCTCCACTACCACATTAGCACCCACACTAGCAACAATAAATCTCCACTATCCACATTGTCTCTGAAGTCACGTGATGCCCGACTCACGTGCATCTGACAGCAGGTGTGTATGTGTGTGTTAAGACAACAGCCTATCAGCCCTGCCACCTAGAACACCCAAGGTTGGGGTTTGAGAATCCTTGCTACAAAAAGATGTTTACGACAGGGATGTAATAGAGATTGGGCTACACGGGGAGGGTGGGGGGGGGGGAGGGGTTAGATGTTTATAGAATTTACAATCGGGGCCAAATCAGCGAGCTCACATTTTAAAATTCGAAATTTTTTATTTGATTAGAAATCCAAACAAAATTTGGCTCTAAAAGTGTGTGTATGGGGGGGGGGGGGGGAGTGGGGGGGGGGGGAGAGAGAGAAACAGGACACACAAAAACAGAATGACATGTAAATAGAAAGAGAGAAAAAAGAATAATGTTGTCAACATGTTTTGGGAGGGGTTTTTATTAGATCAGGGGACACCAGGCTAGATTGATGGCTGGGGTGGGGGAGGTGGTGGGGCGGGGGAGGTGCTGTTGGGGTGGGGAAGGTGCTGATGGGGTGGAGAGTTGCAGGTAGGACAGGGTAAGATGTGTTATTTGTTGCTACATAATATTACATCTAAGACCCTGAGGCTAAAGGGACGTAACCTACAAGCTCTGGAAGGGGAGATCACTGCATTAGAGCTCTAAGGGAAGTCATCCATTAGAGACAAAAATTGTACAGCGGGTTATTAAGGGGAAAACGTTGATAACATTTAATCAGCTAACTCGAGTTGTAAGGGTCCTAATTCAATTAAAATCCTGCTATTTTTACGCTCCCCTAGACAGTTGATTTTAACGATATTGGAACTATGTCCAGCAGTTATACAATATATACAGACTAACAAGCAAGGACCCCCCCCCCACACACACACACGCACTCAAAAAAACAAGGACCACAAGTATTCGAGATCCCTAAGCGATTGATATAAGCTTTTAAATAATTGTAGCAAGTATTGGACAAAAGTTTAAAAGACAGATGAAGTAGAGTTTATATGATCTTTTTATCTTGGCATCGGAATGGATTCTATGGTTTGAAAATATGTGGCCAAGCTACAATCGAGCCCGAGACTCAAACTCTAGAATTGGAGTTAGGCTATAGAATGCTATACCACTCGACCACTCTGTCCCACAGCCCTCGGTCAGCCGCCTGGAACCTGCCCATCAGAGCTTGGTCCCTGAGAGACGAACTGGGAATTGAACCAGAAACCCCCGAATGAACCCCTGCACGCTCTTTCCCTCAACCACACCGCTCCAGTGATCGAATGAGAACTGAAAGTTTGTAATCAACAAATGAAAATTTTACGAGAACTGAAAGTTTGTAATCAACAAATGAAAATTTTACGAGAACTGAAAGTTTGTAATCAACAAATGAAAATTTTACTCACACTTGATGCCCTGCAGGTCCACCATTAGTTCAGCCAGCACGCATGCGCACTCGACGACGACTAGAACACAGATTGTGATGAGGAAAGGCCGGCTATTGATGCATTTCAGTGTTTTCTTACGGCACCTGGGAGAGGAAATGACGGGAATAGTGATGGGGGTAGTGGGGGAGCAGTTAGGGAATAGTGGTGGGAGTAGTGGGGGAGTAGTTGGGGAGTAGTGAGGGAGTAGTGGGGGTAGTAATGGGGGGAGTAGTGGGGGAGTAGTGGGGGAGTAGTGGGGGGAGTAGTGGGGGAGTAGTGGGGGAGTAGTGGGGGAGTAGTGGGGGGAGTAGTGGGGGAGTAGTGGGGGAGTAGTGGGGGGAGTAGTGGGGGAGTAGTGGGGGGGAGTAGTGGGGGGAGTAGTGGGGGGAGTAGTGGGGAGTAGTGGGGGTAGTAATGGGGGGAGTAGTGGGGGAGTAGTGGGGGAGTAGTGGGGGGAGTAGTGGGGGAGTAGTGGGGGAGTAGTGGGGGGGGGAGGAGTAGTGGGGGGGAATTGTGAGGGGGAGTAGTGGGGGGAGTAGTGGGGAGTAGTGGGGGTAGTAATGGGGGGAGTAGTGGGGGAGTAGTGGGGGAGTAATGGGGGAGTAGTGAGGGAGTAGTGGGGGAGTAGTGGGGGTAGTAATGGGGGGGAGTAGTGGGGGAGTAGTGGGGGTAGTAATGGGGGGAGTAGTGGGGGAGTAATGGGGGAGTAGTGGGGGAGTAGTGGGGGGAGTAGTGGGGGGAGTTGTGAGGGGGAGTAGTGGGGGAGTAGTGGGGAGTAGTGGGGGTAGTAATGGGGGGAGTAGTGGGGGAGTAGTGGGGGAGTAATGGGGGAGTAGTGGGGGAGTAGTGGGGGAGTAGTGGGGGTAGTAATGGGGGGAGTAGTGGGGGAGTAGTGGGGGTAGTAATGGGGGGAGTAGTGGGGGAGTAGTGGGGGAGTAATGGGGGAGTAGTGGGGGAGTAGTGGGGGTAGTAATGGGGGGAGTAGTGGGGGTGTAGTGGGGGTAGTAATGGGGGGAGTAGTGGGGGAGTAGTGGGGGAGTAATGGGGGAGTAGTGGGGGAGTAGTGGGGGAGTAGTGGGGGGAGTTGTGAGGGGGAGTAGTGGGGGAGTAGTGGGGGTAGTAATGGGGGGGAGTAGTGGGGGAGTAGTGGGGTAGTAATGGGGGGAGTAGTGGGGGAGTAGTGGGGGAGTAATGGGGGAGTAGTGGGGGAGTAGTGGGGGAGTAGTGGGGGTAGTAATGGGGGGAGTAGTGGGGGAGTAGTGGGGGTAGTAATGGGGGGAGTAGTGGGGGAGTAGTGGGGGAGTAATGGGGGAGTAGTGGGGGAGTAGTGGGGGGGAGTAGTGGGGGGAGTTGTGAGGGGGAGTAGTGGGGGGAGTAGTGGGGAGTAGTGGGGGTAGTAATGGGGGGAGTAGTGGGGGAGTAGTGGGGGAGTAATGGGGGAGAAGTGGGGGAGTAGTGGGGGTAGTAATGGGGGGAGTAGTGGGGGAGTAGTGGGGGTAGTAATGGGGGGAGTAGTGGGGGAGTAATGGGGGAGTAATGGGGGAGTAGTGGGGGAGTAGTGGGGGAGTAGTGGGGGGAGTTGTGAGGGGGAGTAGTGGGGGAGTAGTGGGGGTAGTAATGGGGGGAGTAGTGGGGGAGTAGTGGGGGTAGTAATGGGGGGAGTAGTGGGGGAGTAGTGGGGGAGTAATGGGGGAGTAGTGGGGGAGTAGTGGGGGGGAGTAGTGGGGGGAGTAGTGGGGGGAGTAGTGGGGAGTAGTGGGGGGAGTAGTGGGGGGAGTAGTGGGGAGTAATGGGGGGAGTTGTGGGGGGAAGTTGTGGGGGGAAGTTGTGGGGGGAAGTTGTGGGGGGAAGTTGTGGGGGAGTAGTGGGGGGAGTAGTGGGGAGTAATGGGGGAGTTGTGGGGGGAAGTTGTGGGGGGAAGTTGTGGGGGGAAGTTGTGGGGGAGTAGTGGGGGGAGTAGTGGGGAGTAATGGGGGGAGTTGTGGGGGGAAGTTGTGGGGGGAAGTTGTGGGGGGAAGTTGTGGGGGAGTAGTGGGGGGAGTAGTGGGGGGAGTAGTGGGGGGAGTAGTGGGAGGAAGTTGTGGGGGGAAGTTGTGGGGGGAAGTTGTGGGGGGAAGTTGTGGGGGGAAGTTGTGGGGGGAAGTTGTGGGGGAGTAGTGGGGGGAGTAGTGGGGGGAGTAGTGGGGGGAATAGTGGGGGGAAGTTGTGGGGGGAGTAGTGGGGGGGTAGTGGGGGGAATAGTGGGGGGAATAGTGGGGGGAGTAGTGGGGGGAGTAGTGGGGGGAATAGTGGGGGGAGTAGTGGGGGGAGTAGTGGGGGGAATAGTGGGGGAGTAGTGGGGGGAGTTGTGGGGGGAATAGTGGGGGGAATAGTGGGGGGAGTAGTGGGGGGAGTAGTGGGGGGGAATAGTGGGGGGAGTAGTGGGGGGAGTAGTGGGGGGAATAGTGGGGGAGTAGTGGGGGGAGTTGTGGGGGGAGTAGTGGGGGGAGTAGTGGGGGGAGTAGTGGGGGGAATAGTGGGGGGAGTAGTGGGGGGAGTAGTGGGGGGAGTAGTGGGGGGAGTAGTGGCGGGAGTAGTGAGGGGGAAGTTGTGGGGGGAAGTTGTGGGGGGAAGTTGTGGGGGAGTAGTGGGGGGAGGGGGGAGACAAAAAAAACGTCAAAAAAGCTCGCATCAAAAATACTAATAGTCACATTTTGTCACAATTTGTTACATTTTGTCACGTTCCACACTGACCGCTCACGCTTGCAAGTCTTTGTGTCGTCACGTCATAGAAAAGACGTCAGGCCAGGGTTTGTCCACAGTCAGATAAATCAGCTCAGTCAGATAATCAGTCAGATATATCTTAAGTCACATCTTAAGTAGTGTTGATGATTTAGCTCACTCCACTTTTATTTCACCTTAGTTTGAGCTAAGTTTGATACTTTTAATCTTGTGTGTGTTGTAGCTGGATTAAGCTGCAGCTAAAATTAGGCATTGTGTCCGATTTAATCCTAACTTGTGTAGCCTGGCTAGTTTACACTGAACCTACATTAGTTCCCTCTATAGTTTAGCCTACATTAGTTCCCTCTATAATTTAGCCTACATTAGTTCCCTCTATAGTTTAGCCTACATTAGTTCCCTCTATAGTTTAGCCTACATTAGTTCCCTCTATAGTTTAGCCTACATTAGTTCCCTCTACAGTTTAGCCTACATTAGTTCCCTCTATAGTTTAGCCTACATTAGTTCCCTCTATAGTTTAGCCTACATCAGTTCCCTCAATAGTTTAGCCTACATTAGTTCCCTCAATAGTTTAGCCTACATTAGTTCCCTCTATAGTTTAGCCTACATTAGTTCTCTCTATAAATTAGCCTACATTAGTTCCCTCTATAGTTTAGCCTACATAAGTTCCCTCTATAGTTTAGCCTACATTAGTTGAACTATTCTAGTTTAGCCTACATTAGTTGAACTATTCTAGTTTAGCCTACATTAGTTGAACTATTCTAGTTTAGCCTACATTAGTTGAACTATTCTAGTTTAGCCTACATTAGTTGAACTATTCTAGTTTAGCCTACATTAGTTGAACTATACTATTTTAGCCTACATTAGTTGAACTATTCTAGTTTAGCCTACATTAGTTGAACTATACTATTTTAGCCTACATTAGTTGAACTATACTATTTTAGCCTTGTTTAATTGAGCAGCTCTTGTTAAGCCAGGTTTAGTTCAAAGGATTGTGGCTATGATTGTGGTTATGATTGTGGCTATGATTGTGGCTATGATTGTAGCTATGATTGTAGCTAATCTTATCTCATTTCCACATAATTATTGAAAGTTTTTTTTTTTCGTAAAGCCACGTCAAGTATTTGTTAATAACAAAATTAACTGCGGCGACTTACATTTGGGGTCCCACAAGTTCTGACATCAGGGGTCCCGCAAGTTTAGACGTTCGGGGAGGGAGGGGGGGGGGGTCCCACAAGTTTTGATCACTACTGTGTTGACTGTGTTTACCGCCTGAAAGTGACAACCAATCACAGACAGTCCCTCAACCCCAACCCCCAATCATCAACCCATATCCCCCCCCCACCCCCACCAAACCACCCACCCACCTCTTTGTTTTTTCAAATCGAAACTAACCACTAGGTTCAGGAGGCGCCAAAATTCCAGACAATTCCACCGCATTCTGCTATCGCATAACCACGTGTTGCTGTTCAGTCGAACGTCCTTCACCTTGCGGGGACCCCTGGTATCTTCCATTGATTTCCTCCCCTTGGCTTATTAGCGCATAATTTGTTGCCGAGTTGTCGCCCCTTGTGGGGGATACCCGGGGCGAGCTGGTCTGCTGTCGGCAATCTGATAGGCAAGGCTGTCGGCAATCTGATAGGCAGGGCTGTCGGCAATCTGATAGGCAAGGCTGTCGGCAATCTGATAGGCAAGGCTGTCGGCAATCTGATAGGCAGGGCTGTCGGCAATATCATGAGAAGGGTTGTCGGCAATCTCATGGGAAGGGTTGGCAATATTATGGGCAAAGTCGTCGGAAATCTGATAGGAAGTTTTTGTCCAGCATAGCTAGTACATGTAGTGGTCGGTGGTCGTACATTTTAACTCGCAGTGTTATGGTCAGTGGTCATACTTTATAGCTAGCAGTGTTATGGTCAGTGGTCATACTTTATAGCTAGCAATGTTATGGTCAGTGGTCATACTTTATAGCTAGCAGTGTTATGGTCAGTGGTCATACTTTATAGCTAGCAGTGTTATGGTCAGTGGTCATACTTTATAGCTAGCAATGTTATGGTCAGTGGTCATACTTTATAGCTAGCAGTGTTATGATCAGTGGTCATACTTTATAGCTAGCAATGTTATGGTCAGTGGTCATACTTTATAGCTAGCAGTGTTATGGTCAGTGGTCATACTTTATAGCTAGCAATGTTATGGTCATTGGTCATACTTTATAGCTAGCAATGTTATGGTCAGTGGTCATACTTTATAGCTAGCAATGTTATAGTCAGTGGTCATACTTTATAGCTAGCAGTGTTATGGTCAGTGGTCATACTATATAGCTAGCAGTGTTATGATCAGTGGTCATACTTTATAGCTAGCAGTGTTATGGTCAGTGGTCATACTTTAT